AGCGGACAAAAGACAGACGACAGTCCAGAGTCGCCCGACGAGCCACGCTTACATATTAATTACATTTTTGACCGATCTAAAAGTGCATAAATAATTGATTTCAATTTTTTGGATAAAATGCACATTGTGCGCATTTTTTTGGCTTTTCGCTACTTGTCTTTTTTTGTCGTAAACAACAATGTGCATTTAAATGCAGCCCACCAAAAGAAAATAAAAAAAAAATTCAAAGCTATTTGAAATTGTTTACAAATTTCCTATCACAATGTTCATTTTTAGTTCAGGTGCAGCATTTTTTATTGATAGGCAGTTTGCTTTTTGCACTTGTTGTAGTATTGCAAATTAATAGTCGTTGATTGAAAAATTCGAACAGCTCCATAATTTGTATGTGTTGGCTGTGAACGTATTCGTGTGTATATCTATATGATTTTTACAATTTTTTGTTCTTTCGCTTCCAAATGTGATAAATGATAAATGATGAAAGTTCAATTATTTTAGCTTCCGTTTTCTATTGTAAAATACACATGCTGGCAAATTTAAGCGGACTGGAGTCTATCTTTTATTCAAAATATATATGGTAAGAATATAGTATATATGTACTATATTCTATATAATATATTCTTGAGCAGCATCAACCAAGTCAAGTCGATATAGTCCATCTGTTCGTCAATCTGACTGTCTTGTTTTAAGATAAGTTAGTTTGAGGTTTTTAGCACATTGGCTGCAATCGGACCGCAATAAGATATGGCTGCCATCGGTCGAAGATAACTATTATTTTTCGTATTTATTTATTTAATTTGATGGATAATACTACAATTTAAACGCCTTAGGCGATTATGTATATTAGTTATATACTGTCCAGAATTGAAGCAACCGTCCGATTATCAAGACCAAAAATCAAGATGACGCGAAATTGAATTCATGCAGGATTGTTGAATGCCATAAAAAGACCCAACAAATTTTTAAGAGAATACTCCATAGAACCTCCTTTTAGCTACTATAGTTCAATTGAAAGGCGTTGCCAAATATTTCGTTTAACTGGTAACTGAAATATCGTTATAATTCAGCTACTTTAGAGCTAAATTTGGCTATTGTCCAAGTCGTTGACGAGACAAATGACTCCAAATTGGATTTTTTTTAAACCGACTATGCTTTTTTAGCTTTTCTAAAAAAAAAATTTAGTTCAAACAATGACTTTTCTTAGTGTATGTATTATAGCTCATATTGACCATTGAATACTTTTTTTGTTATGTAGCATCTCAAACTTAAATACTGTTAGCGCTGTCAATCGATTAACGATAACGATAACTTACGTTTTTGTCAACATTAGCCTAACGTATCCATATTGAAAAAAGTGCCACAAGAAAACTCTTTGATAAACCAAAAAAAAAAAATATTAAAAAAAAAAGCGACTAATCCTTAGCCAAATCCCTATGCATATCGACTGCCTTTAAAGAAAACTCCGCTTAAGGAAACAGCTTTTTGCCCCATTTTCTTCCAGCATTGGGCACTTTTTCCTATGGAGCACCTTGCTCTTTAAATTCAGCAATTTTTAGATATTTTTAAAATTAGACCCAGCTACTTTTTTGAATCGAATCATTAGGTACACTGATCGCCAGACACCTGAACGAGACCTTTAAAAGCATATTGAAGCGCTTCATAGTTGAGAAAACGAAAAACAAGTGAGAACAATATCAAAACACAATTGCGCACTCAGTTGAAATGCCATTTCTTGTTGCCTGATTTGCTGGAGAACATTGTACAACAACTTTTTCACTCGATGTGTGAAAGAATGTTGCATGACACACCGGCTGCCCACCCCCCCCAAAAAAGTCCACCCCCCCCCTGTGAATTGTCTGCTTCTGGTCGTTTTACGTAATGCAACAGTGGCAAATTAAGAAATCTAATAAAACTTAAAATACACTCGAGTCCACACTCGAACGCTGAAACACATACAATAAAATATACGCCTCCCCACACTCAAATTGGAGCAACTGATTTGTTTACCAAATGATCCAAAAATACCAGAAAATTGCACTGTAGTGTAGTTGTAGTTGCAGTTGCAGTAGTTGCAGCAGTTGTTGCAGTTGCAGCAGTTGTTGCAGTTGCAGTTGTTGTTGCAGCTACGGCTGCTACAGGTCTCGTCTTGGCACGGGGCGCTATTTCTCAAGTGCCGGATGTATTATGGCCATCGGGAGCTGATTTTTTATGAATGAGCTGGGCACAATGAATGCACTCACGAGTGTGCCGAACGAGTGCAATTCATTGTTTTTGTTGTTGTTGTTGTTAATCCATTTGATTCAAACTTTTTATTGATGCGCATCCTTACTTTTGGTGAGTGAGTTATTCTACAGTACTTACAATAATGCATTAAGTTCTATTAGTTCCGGATATCAATGATATTTTAAATGATTTCAAGTGGCTCTTAGATTGTTTTGAATATTTCTCAAGTGTGAGGTTGTGTGCTATCAATTCAAATAAATCAATATTGTACATGTAACTCAGCTCAAATTGTGGTATATTTTTAGACTAAGTTGCATCTTAGCTCATCGCAGACATTTGTATCTTATTTCTACATATATTTATTAGTCTCTGATTTGCCAAACTGGTGAAACTAGCCTTAGTTCGTATAAGCAACTATTATGGCCGGTTACAACTAGTTGCATAGAAAGACGAACTTATTGTTTGTGAATATTTAACGATAGCAAAGAGAAAATCATGTTGGATCCAATACAAGAGATCAAAGATATTTCTAAGCACTTTTGGGCAGTTACAATCACAAAAGAGTTAAACATCACAATTGGAAAGAATATTTTACATCTTGACATCAGACAGCTTTGAATATAAGAACAAGTTAATTCCACATTTGGGCTTATTATATATTGAACGATTTACAAATTTTTAATTTTTCGGATACTATATTTATGCCCTAAAAATATGATGAAAATCGATCTGTTTACATTTATAAAAATTTGTATGGAAGGAAGTTCGAATGCTTATAGCAGCAGCTCAGAGCTGCTGTCAGAGTTCAGGGTATCTCCTAGTCGTGCAATCCCAACTAGGCACTCTTATTTCGACTTGTAGATGTTTGATGAATATATTACAAATTATGTTGTTTAAATAATTAACTTCTATTAACTGGAATAGAACTTAGAAGTCTTATAAAAATTGCATTCAAAAGCATTTAAACAAAGAAACTAAAATAAAAAATATTTAAAAATAAGAAAAATGTAAGCCCATGTAAAAACAATTTTGTCAAATAAACTTTCCATTGGCTAAATAAACTTTATCTTTCCGTGCTCTGGAAATTTTAAAGTTTTGCCTGTCTTACATAAGTATTATTATTAAAACTATTAACAAGTCCTGGTGCCACTTTCCAAATTTTAAGTCCGAAAATTTGATTTTAAGTTATAAATAATATACAAATTAATTACTTATATTGAACCAGTAAAAATGAGTAGCATGGAGTGCAAGAGCCTGCCAGCTCTTAATAGCATAAATAATTTTCCACATTCCTAGGCGCTTGTCTATGGGCTTACTTCAATTAAGTGCATTGAATTGACCGCAGATAAATATGACAACAAATATTGAAATGACAATGCGGACAACTGTTTTATGTTTTGCTGGCTGCTTGTTGTCGCCTCGTTTGCAGCTGCTCGGCCAGGCCAGGCCAGGCCAGCCAAACAGATGATGAAGATATATGCGCATATTGAATGACCAATGACCAATGATCCGGCGAGCCAATGCTCCACTGCAATGCAGCAGCCGCGCACTTCATTTGCGCGCTGTTCAATGTTGTTGTCCAGCCCGCGGATGACAAGACCGAATAACCAAAACAACCTAAGGCAACCCGAAACAGTTCCAACGAAATTCCTATGAATACTTGTGCGCTCCTCTTGATTACATGCTTGTTTGTATGCAAACTGGAGTAAACTTTTATTAATTGAGCCGGGCAAATGTATACATACAAAACAATATAAAGATACATGCACATCCAGAAGAGCACAACGATGACGACGCAGTGCAGCCACACGGCCACAGTCGGTCGCACAGTGGCAAACGCCATCGTTCATTGATCCACAAACAAAAAATATATGCGACTATTTAATACGCTCGACGGGTATAATTAACAGATCACTTAACAGATCTGAAAGGAAGCTTAACCATGGTATTTCAACAGAGATTTGGCCAAACATTAGAGCTTGCTGCCTACCTACCCTCTCGCAATATAATTATACTCAAATAAAATAAGCCTAACCCAAGTTAATATATTGCAACCAGAACTGAACCTTACCCCAACTTAATCAAATATAATAAATAAATTCATACTACCCCACATCAAGGGCTTTGCAAGCAAAGTAATACATTTAAGAAACAATCTTTCAATAACCAAAAATAATAATTCAATAGCTTCTTGCAAGAGTATCTTTTAGCCGACCTTATCTATTTTTTCTTAACTGGGTCTACAGTATTTATGAATTTGTTGGACTCTTTCGTTTGACTTATGTCACGGCTGTCAGTAAATAATTCAAATGATTTTGCAACTAGATTTAGATTTCATGTTTTGTGTCGTCGACGTCGTCGTCGTCGTCGGCGCTAAATGGAAATGTATCTTTTTATATGTATTTACTTTTATGTATCTACGTATCTGCATCTGTGCTGCAGTCACTCGGTCATTAGGCAAGTGCCTGGGGACGTATAAAAGCCAATTCCAAACTAAACTGCGAACAGCGCACGGATGGGATTTTACAAATAAAATTTAAATGGTTTACTGAGAAAGTCGCATCCATCACACACAATACAGGGAAAATAATATGTATAGTAAAATTTTGATTTTGTTTTTCGGGCCCGCCACATTTATTTCAACAGCTGGCCTAGCGCCACATGAGTAATACGTCCGCCAGCCCCCCTTCTCCTGTATTTATATACAAAGACTGCGTCGGGTAGCTGCCTTTGCATATTGTTTATAAACGCATGCGCTAAATTTAAATAAAAGTTTCCAATTTGTTTATGTGGCTAGAATATGCACATGCTTTTAATCATATCTTATGCCAAGAGGGCAGCTAGATTCTCCCTCAAATCTGATCAAAAATTTTAATTTTTTGTATTTGAAAATGTTCCAAACACTAAAATGACATATACGAGTGACAGTTCGAGATATACGGCAAACAGAAACCTGTGGACACAAAAACGCATCGTCAAATTTAGGTACTTATATGTAAAGCCAAGTAACTCCATCTTACCTAAAATCAGCGAGCTCCCTTCTGTAATCGCACCACTTCTAGACCCCGACGCATATGTAAGCCCTTGCGCAATGGCCCCGACAAACATGTTTTGGATCCGCATTGGACGAGATTACGTCCCACGGAAGGTATCATGGAGCGCATCAGGACGGGCACAATTACTTTAAGAACTACACCTAGCATTTTAGAAACAAATTCTTTCAACACACTGCACAAACAAATAAATTTTTGAAGCTGAAATGTGAACATGTGTGCACATTAGAGCCTATATGAAAACTAAACTCATTCGTATTTCGAAATACATGTAGCTCGAATTGAAATTTCAAGGGCTCCCTCGTTGCAAGTTCAATTTATCTGACTAACAAATAAAAATAAGTACGAACAATTAAGCCAATCTTCAAAAAAGAACAAAGTCTTTCTCAAGCTTAATTCGACTGTTCTTGCAAAATAGTTATTGTATCCGTCATATATTATGCCAGCCACAAACAAATATGTTCTCCTATTAGAATCAGCTAGCATCAGGTTTCGAATACCCGAAAAAACGATAATGTTATTTAAAAAACAGCCTGCATTAGGTCAACCCATGCAAATTTTGTGAAAGGGACCAGGAATCATCAGGTCTATGTGAATACCCAGCCATCTGCAATTGTGGATCTTGTTAAGGCTATATAAATGGGAGTTTCGGAACTCCCAAGACCCAGCACAATCAAGAGCCGGCATCACCCGGCATTGCTCAGCCAAGTGTTTTCTACCCGTTCGCCCAATTTGGCATAGATTATTCAAAAGTATTTGATCGCTAACACAAAAGTGTAAAGGAAGGTCACTAATTAAAGCAGAAATATCCCTTTAGGCATACGATGGTTTAAACGTGTTTAATTTACATGGAAATACATTTAAAAAACGCTCAAAAAATTTAGGGTATGTAGACAACAATAGACATCACGAATCGGGCAGTCCCTTAAATCATCCAGCGTACCACAGATTGTTCTTTGGAATCGCCGGACGCAACAGGAACAGAATCCTGGTCAGCGCTTCCAAAGCGTCCGTCCCAGCGAACATCCTTTGGACATCTGCTGCAGTATAACGGATTTTGATCGACTTTGCACCAGATTGCGACCCACCGTGGGTAGAAGAGTTCGCAACAAAATAGGCATAACTTTTGGAAAAATGGGGGGCGGCATTTTTTACAAAATTTCACTTAAAAAACTAAAAAAAAAGTTTAAAAAAATACAAAATTTGTGTAAAAGGAACACAAAAGATTGTTTTCAACTGGAGATCTATAATACGAATAAACATATCTGGGTAGATAGCACATGAAAGTTGATTTCAATTTTCAAGGGCTGCTTGGTTCGAAAGCTGTCGAGAAATTTCGAAAATTTGTGAACATTGCTTATAATGTCGAGATATACGCATGAATATATCATTACCCTAAAGCGTTCAATAAATTAGTCACGAATTTTTCCAATTAATATTCCAATATGCTTTTAAAATAGCTTTCATTTTATATGGGCTCGAGTTAAATACTATAAAAATAAAATATTGAAAGAGAACATACGGCAAGCAATATCATTTATAAACTCATGTATGTAGGGCAGATTTTTCATCAATGAGATATAAATTGTTTGCTCATTATATATTATAAATATAAATATGTACATTCGTATATGCGGCTGGCATTGTATTTAGATTTTAAAAGTACATATGTACATATATTCTATTCCGAAATAACAGAAAACTCTCTGTATATAAATATGTACATGTATTTAGTTTTAAGAGTTTACTTAGTCGAATAAGTAAAAAGTTTACAGTATATCAGACTTACCCTTCATATTTTCTCCACACATAAATGGATCCAACGAATAGCACTAATATGGCGAAACATGTCGAAATGTATTTGGCACGATCTATCCCACAAATATCGGTTTGCAAATTATCATACGTATCACGCGAATGACCGCTCAACTGATCACAGCGTATAAGATTGAAGAATTGTCCCATTTTCGTGTAATTCTTGGAGATCACCACACCTTAAAGCTATTTTAGCTCTTTTGAATACATTAATTTAGCACTTCAACACTATAATACAAGTTCAAGTATTTGATTATGCAAATTTTTTTTTTTAATATGTTTTCGACATCTTTTTAAATCCACATCGTATATAGAGTTGATCTGAGTGTTGCGTGTACACTCAGCTAATTTTTGCGCACCAAAAATTCAATATTTAGAAACCGCACAGAAAATTGAAAATGTAAACAAATTATTTCGCAATTACAATTATACACATTAACTTATTCATAGATGCTATTGTACTTCTATTTTCCAAACGAAATTTCGGATTTCAGATACACACAATATATGTATCTACATTTGTAAGTCGACTGAATAAAGTATGTACATACATACATACATATGTACACATACATTAAACGCATGCCGCGAGTACGTTTTACTTTTGATTATGGGATTTTATCGTAATTATTTTGAATATAAACAAAATAGCAGAGACATTAAAAGAAATATGCGCACGTTTCTACTGATTCGAAGAATGCCGAAAACTTTCCCGTTATTAGCTGCCCAACCGTCTGCAGCCGTGGAACGCAACGTACTGAAAGAAACGGTAAACACATGTTAAAGAACACTCGTTGAGAAGCTGTGCGTGCTTTAAAAACAGAGAGAGAGAGAGCGAGCATGCGAGCATGCACGTGCAAGATCGTGCAAAAGCTCTCGCGTATTTCTGTTATTCTTATGCATACCCTGTACCAGTTGGCATTAACATAGATAAGAGTGACGAATATAGCGAGCAGGTATGCCCGACTCAAAAAAGATTATCTCTATATATAAAACTGTTTGTCCTGACTGACTGACTGACTGACTGACTGCCTGACTGACTGACTGACTGATTGGTGATCAACGCACAGCCCAAACCGTAAAAGCTAGGAAGCTGAAAATTTCACTGTAGTTACCTTATGTGATGTAGGTGCACGTTAAGACGGGGTTTCGGGAAATTCCACCCGCAAGTGTGGAAAAATCGCGAAAAACGTTTGTATGTAACTTTTTTGTTTACCATCCGATCGGCCTCAAACTTATTTTCAAAGATCTTTGTTCAAATTCATATGAGGGGTGTTTCACACTTTTCGAAAAATACGTTCCTCCTTGGTTGAAATGGAGGTCAAAGATTTGGTGGGTGACGTTTCGCGCTCAAATTCATTTGCAGAGATCTATAAGAAAAATCATTTGAGACGTGTTTCACACTTTTCGCAGAATCCAAACTTTTTCGGGTGGAATGCGACTCAAAGATTTTTTGTGCGAAGTTTTAAATTGTGTCCGATTTGCTTCAAACCTATTTTCAAAGCTCTACATAAGAATGTAATGAATGCGTCTTTCAGCGATTTGGGAAATTCCACTCACAACAGTGGTAAATTGGCGGAAAACGTTTGTATGAAAGTTATTTGTTTACCGTCCGATCAGTTTCAAAATCATTTCAAATTTTTTTGAGAACATTGATTTTATAACATACGTGCCACGGGCAAGGCCGGGTTATACCCGCTAGTACTATATACAATAGGCATACAAGAATATGCTTTTAGCAGTTCATTGTTATGAATGCATACATACATATCGTTGGAGGAAGATATATGTACATATATGTACTTTTACAGGTATTGGGTATAAATGGTCCGTTCCAATGGATTGCATATACATATGCTTTGGCTAGTGGCTTTACCTTTTGAGCAAGTTGCTTGTGCAGTTAACAGAAACTTAAAGGTTCTTGAGATGATTAACGAATTTTTTGGATGGCACTAAAATGGAGGCCGGCTGCGTCTCCTTGGTCCGTGATATAAAGCATCCTATAACGCTGGCAAGGTGTGTTATGGAAAAGTCACGGCATTGCTATTTGGCTGGCGATGGCGCTATGCATCTTGCCCGGACCGAAGGATTCGATATACTGCCCAAGGCGGCACTGATTACAGAAATGGCACAAAAATCCTTATACGATTACAAAGCACTCAGGAATAAATCGGGAAGCAGCAGGATCCCCATCCCTCCAGGTACCGTTGGTGCCGTGGCAATTGATGCCTTCGGTAATGTGGCAGCAGCGACATCAACAGGTGGCACAATGGGAAAACTACCAGGCCGGATTGGTGACTCTCCACTGCTGGGTGCTGGCACCTATGCAGATAATGAGATAGGCGCCATATCAGCCACTGGACATGGTGAGACCATTATGCGTTACAATGTTGCCTCGCGCATATTGGCACTGGTGCAGCACAAGAATTGTACAGTACAACTGGCAGCCGAGCAAGTGCTTCAAAAGATGACCTCACGTTTTAAGGAAACGGCTGGCATAATAGCTATTGATCACCAGGGACAGCTGGGCATATACTTTACAACACAGCATATGCCTTGGGCCTATCAGAAGGGAAAGGAGCTGCACAGCGGTTTTCAAGCAGGCGATAACCAGATCGAGGTTGTATGCGACGAATCCTAAGCTAACAAATACATAAATAACGTTTTTTAATTAAAAATTTTCTTAATTTATTTAGAAACTTAAACATACCTCGAAAATACAAAAAGCCAGCAGCAAAATGAAATTTATTTGTTAAACAGAGCAGCAATAATCGCAGCTGCCGCACATCGCAAACAATTGGCTGCTCGAAGATTCCGCTTCTATGAAGAAACGCAGCGCCTGGGTGCAGCTGAGCTCATGCTCGTTGACCTTCTGCTGAATCAGTGCCTGCAATTGTGGCTTTTCTGCGCTATGCTCAAAGTGTACTCCACACTCGCATGTGTACAGCGATTTGATGCGCTGCATCGACTTTATCAAGCATACAGGACAGATTAATGAAAGGTCTTTGGGTTCAGCATCGGGCTCAGTGTACAGTGCTTCCAAGTGCTGCTCCTGGAGGGCATACCATTCGTTGACATCACTGAGGAGCTCCTGATAGACATGCTGCTCCAATTGTAAATTCTGATCCAGCTCGTTGAGCTCTAAACGCAAAATGTCTTCCAGCTCTGACTGCAAACCAATTATTTAAGTTAATCATTGAGTGTCTTTATCGTCACTAGTTACCAATTGCATTTTCCGATTGCCATCGACGTTGTCCTTGCGTGCATTTAAAATGCGTATGCGACATTTCTGTTAAACAAATAAACAATTTGCATTTGTTTCCAAATAAGTAGCTAATTTATTGGCTTGCGGCTTACCTCCCGAAGTAGTTCACGCAATTTCGGCATGCCCAAGCGTTGTTGTTTAGCCACATTTTGTGCGTGCCGTTTCTGCTCGACACTTGTATTGTAGACGGGACTGCTGGGACACTGCATTCTATTAAATTCGCAATAATACCAATGAAAATTAAGGCTAGGCACACAATGCGAAATGCGCGGGCGAGCACTACCAATCCCAGCTGTTTATTTATCGATACTTGATTAACTTGTATCGAAATACAACAGTGTTGTTCACAAGACGCACCACAACACTGCCACACAGGGCTGCTCTGACTATATATTGACATTCGCAACATGGCGTACTTCAAGCTTCCGCTCTTTCTTTCCCTTTCTTTTACCAACGTGCATAGTGTCGAGTAAAAGGTTAGTGTTACATTTTCAATTTTCGCAACGAGAACTGTTCTAAAATGTTGATAATTTGTGCCTTAAACAGATGCCAGCCCCGGCCGCTAAGAAACCAGCAGCTAAAAAGCTGCCCGCTGTGCCGGAATCCAAGCTTAAGTTCAGCAAGAAACAAATCAGCAAGCGTGTTTCTGAGACGAAACGTCGCCTGAAGCGTGCCGCTGTCATTGCCCTGCGCAAGAAGGAGAATCTGGTGCGTGCCCAGAAGTACCAGAACGAGTACATCAAGGCCGATCAGCGTGAGATCAAGCTGCGCCGCTTGGCCAAGAAGCGCAACCAATTTTACGTGCCCGCAGAGGCCAAATTGGCATTTGTCGTGCGTATTCGTGGGTGAGTGAAAATTGTCATCAGTCAACTCTGGATGTTATTGTTAATGTTAAATGTGCTTTGCAGTATCAACAAGGTTGCACCAAAGGTGCGTAAAGTGCTGCAGCTGTTCCGCTTGCGTCAGATTAACAATGGCGTGTTCATTAAACTGAACAAGGCCACCATCAATATGCTGCGCATTGCTGAGCCTTACATTACTTGGGGCTATCCCAATCTGAAATCGGTGCGCGAGCTGATCTACAAGCGCGGCTTTGTTAAGCACAGTCGCCAGCGTGTGCCCATCACCGATAACTTTGTTATCGAGCGCAAGCTGCGTAAGGCACATAACATTCAGTGCGTTGAGGATCTGGTTCATGAGATCTTCACTGTGGGACCCAATTTCAAGTATGCCTCCAACTTCCTGTGGCCATTCAAACTGAACACGCCCACCGGCGGCTGGCGCAAGAAGGCCAATCACTACGTTAACGGTGGTGACTTCGGCAACCGCGAGGACAAGATCAACAGATTGCTGCGCAAGATGGTCTAAGGCAGAATTTCGCAGTGTAATAGTTCAAACAAAAACAGTCTGGCAACAGCGAAAGAAATAAAATTAACTCTTTTTATGAAAGTACCAAAATGCCGTTCACAAAATCAAGTGTTTTCACATTTATAGACGGTTAGCTAAAATGCACTTAAGAGGAGAGCCGAAATCCGCACACTCGCAGAGAAGTAAGGTAAAGACCTCCGTCTAGGCCAGGATAGTATTGGTTTCTTTTTTGTTATCCAGGGAGAATAAACGTTTATGATAAATAGTGAACTATGCATTCATAAAAACAGCATTGGAGCATTGGCTTCTTCTACCACATCAATTTTGCATATTCCCGGATAATAACCAAGTGGATTTCGTTATTCCGATTCCAGGCAAACCAATCTTCCAGCCCTGTATCAGAGATTGTCTTTATGCTCGTTACTTTTATAAAACATAATAACAAACATTGGTTGTTTTGTCTCTTCACTGAGCAATAGGTTTGAAAATAATTTCAATACTTTGGAGAAATGTACTTCTAGCGGACAACCGTATCATATACCAATATTTCATATAATATGAATAACGACCCAAATAAGAATGTTTCAAACGAGTATAACAGACTGCCTAATACTCTTTTAGAGTGCCATATCAACGAGAGAGTTGTCTGCCTATCGATATGACAGTGGACGAGACAGTTGGCAGCTCTTCAGTAGTAGTCTATATCTGAAAAGAAACGTTTCGCGATTTGTGGAGCGAACTATATAATCTTAACATCTTGGCAGGCGCAGCTATGTACAAATTTATATGTCTCCAGTTTCAAGCATGTAACTTCAGCAGCGCCGAAAATAATGTTAATCCAGATGGACAGTGAAAACCCAACCCTTTTTTTTTTCAGTGTAACGAGAAAAAAATACCTGGCTTATCACTTGAGTTTGTGAAATTTCCAAACACGTTAAAAGAAAACAAGTTGCAAGTAATTAAGGAATATGTACACCAAACTTTATTTCTAATACAAGTGAAAAAAGTTATTAAAATGCCAGCAGTAATTAGTTCTGTTTTATACGGCCATCTCCATTGGGATGACTTTATCAGGATTGTAGCCAACAATTTCAAAGTCTTCGTAGCGAAAGTCCTCAATGTTCGTAACCTGCCGCTTGATGTTGAGCTTGGGAAAGGGTTTAGGGCTACGTTTTATCTGCTGCTGCAGCGGTTCGATATGGTTGAGATAAACGTGAGCATCACCTATAGTGTGGATAAATTCACCGGGCTTCAGACCCGTCACATGGGCTATTAAATAGGTGAGCAGAGCATAGGAAGCAATGTTGAAGGGAACGCCGAGGCCCATGTCAGCACTACGCTGGTATAGCTGGCAGGACAATTCGCCCTTGGACTGCGATACAAAGAACTGAACCAGGCAATGACACGGCGGCAGCGCCATTTTGGGTATATCCAACGGATTCCAGGCGGACATGATAATACGACGATCCGAGGGATTAGTTCGAATCGTATGTATTACTTGTTGTAATTGGTCAATACCTTGGCCGGTGTAATCGTCATTGCAAGTGCCATAGTCAGCGCCAAAGTGACGCCACTGGAATCCATAAACTGGACCCAGATCCCCAACATCCCGATCGGTGTGCCCACAGCGGTCCAGAAACTCGCGTGTGCTGTTAGCATCCCATATGCGCACATTCTTTGCCTGCAATATCTTGGCATCGGTCTTGCCGGCAATGAACCACAGCAGTTCCTCGGCCACGCCTCGAAAGAATACACGCTTGGTTGTCAGCAGGGGAAACGAGTCGCGCAAATCGTAGCGCATTTGGGCGCCAAAAATTGACAACGTTCCTACCAGAGTACGGTCCACGCGCTTATCTCCAGTCTCAATAATCCTTTTTATGAAAAGCAAATACTGCATTTCATCTATGTTCTCTTTTGTTTTTTGCACAGCATCTTTGGTCTGTTCTGTCATCCGGTTATCCAGTTGAATCTCCTGCAGGGGTTCTGACCTCTTGCTCGGCGAGATGTCCATTTCATTCCAGTCCATACGCCTTTTCTGTATGTCGGCTGACCTTTTGCTCGGAGATTCTTCATGTTTACAGGGGCTCACCATTTCCATTAATCTAAAAAAAAGTTAATAAGTATTCAACTTCCAGCAATGAGATTTGTTTGGCAACTGCCAGTTTCGCGCTATAACCAGGCAAAAAGCGCGCTAAACTGGGATGAATAACGCTCAAAATACAACCGTGTGTTTTTTTTTTGTATTTGCATGCAATAGTGATAGTTAAAAAAAAAAAACAAAATAAAATAATTTTAAACATACACCTCAAGCATCCTTGTGTTAAATATTAATATTAAATTAATCGTTTTGCATAGTTTATATTTTCTGCCGACAAGGGCATGCCAATGCAATTCGGAACTTGAAAACATGTTGGTAAACATCTGTAAAATTATTCGAAAGCTAAGATTATTGAATAAACAATTGATTTATATTTCATGGAAGCTACATTATAAATAAAAAGGACCGAGTTCCAGTGTTGACAATATTTTTATAGTGCATTGTAGCTTTCGATCTAAGAGAGTACTTTACATAAAACCCGAACAACAGGCGAAGGGGTTCGGGCAGGTCAAAAATATATATAATTTATGTAATATATAATACCTTTTGAAGATATACATATAAAAAATCGGCTGTCCAACACAAATAAGCTGGTGTCTGAACGCATATAAGTTATATATATATTATATTATATATTAGAGGTCTCACTATCGCCATGTTATATATTCAGATAGGAAATACACGAAGAGAATACACGAACCCTTCGCTAGACTACGAATAAATATGTCATCGATACTATCGATAGAGCTGTATCTCTATGGTGGAGTATGCCCGACGGGATTCGAAAACAGACAGGTAGACAGGCGGACATGGCTTGTTCGATGTTGACTATGAATACAATCTATAGGGTTGGAAATGCATGTTAGATACAATTACTAGAAAGTGCTGGTTACAGCAAATGTGGTATGTAGATTCTCGCATAGAATATAGAAACTTAAATATTTCACTTTTTGGATACCTTTGCGAAGCTTTCAGCAATAGATAAAATGTCTTTCTTTCTTAGCCTACTTGTTTTTAAAGCTTGATTTTGTTTCTGTTTGATCTATCGTTAGCCGGTCACAACAAAAAAAAATATAAAAAAAGCCAACCTTTTCAAATTATGTTTATTTTTCTTGTATTTTGCGATTTGTATGGAATTCAGAGTTGTTCGCCTTTTTATCAATCTGTTTCAAAACAATTTCTAAATGGTCAGTAATACGCAGACAATTAACAATTGTTTGTGGGATGCCGTTTTAAGTCAAATTTATGAAATGGTTAATATATCTTTTGCCTTACAGCTGGCAGTGTTAGCAATGCATTTTATAATAGTGGAAGATACAAAGTATTGCATATACTTTCACATGAAAAAATGCGTGTTGTATAAAATCGAAACGATCGCGAATAAATACAAAAGCATCGAAATAAATGTAGAAACAGCACCCCGTTTACAAAATATGCCATTTGCTGATGATTGTTTTCAAAACATATGTGGTTTATAAAGCATTTTACATATGTACTTAGTTTATATGCCAACGTTATTATGCGCCATTGTCTCTGTTTTATAGATTGTGTTGATTTGTGCATTCTTCCCTACTGATGTGTTGTGGTTACATGTATATTCTGTACCAGGCGCTGACCCCAGTACTCCTCCAGATTGAATGGCTTAAAATTTTTTAATTGATTATCAGATTCGTTGCAATATATAACAGGCGTACCCTGCTCGCTAACCTGTAAGGAACCAAAAGAAACGAGAAAACATTAGCGTCCACCCACGACAAACACGATCGGGAAAAGTGACCTGCCACAAGATGCTACAAATTGTGTTGCCGACTACTATTTATATCATAAATCCAGTACTTACTTTATTCCAAGCCTCGCGAATGTAACGTATTAATTCATCGTGCTGCGATATGGGCACAGCCGGCGGTTGTTGTTGTTGCTGTTGCGACACCGCTGCATACAGCACATTAGTGTTTGTTGCTGCATTATTAATGCTATTATTGGAGTATTGTGTGCTGTGAGGCGATGTGTTTGTTACGGATGCCGGAGACGGCGAAGATGACGACGACGTTGTCGATGAGTTTGCGTTATTATGGTGATGATGATTGTGTGGTCCGTTGCCGCTGCCTTGGCGGCGAATATAGGGATAACGTCTGAAATAATATTAGGTTAGCCAAATTAGTTTACCAACATCGCAATATTGCATTTGTGCACATATACACATCTACACGCACACAGCCGCAAACACTGTGTGTTTACTTTTTTTCAATTTGTATGCGTCACGAGCTTCGCTTAGCATAAACTTCTTGTATGTATCATATCAGGCTTACCCATTGTTGCGTTCCATTATGTTTTTGTATTAATATAAATATTGCTTTTGTTGGTTGTTTTTGTTTATCACACAAGTCCCAATTCTATTATTGGGAGTATTGTGAGCTATTTTTTTCTTTTCGTTGTTGCATTTGACAGAAATATCGATAGCACAGACGGTATCGATTTTGACATACGCGTTGGCAGTGCCAACATTCGCTAGTTAACAGCATGCTAAAATCAATTAACAGCAGTCGTTGAATAAAACCGTTATAAATGTATTATAAAAAACTTTTGTTTCCACATTTTCACTTTACGTTTATTTCTATAAAATTCATAACATATATATTTTGCTCAACTGTTAATAATAAACGTAAAAAATAGCTGCGCATATGCATAAGCATATACTTAAAATATAAAAAGGAAATATCGAGTAACCATATAAAAATGTTTTTTTTTTTACAAAAGAATTACCATATATAAGTATGTAGTTCTTGCTGAGCATTCTTAAACACAACACAATGTTATTTAATCAATTATCATTTAGACAATATGATCATCTCATATGTATTTTGATAATAAAACTACTTTTGTCTTTAACAGAATAAAATGCACATTCCGAGTTTCATATTTGTCGTTACATTTGGCAGCACCAAGGAGAGGGAGGGAGGGAGGGCACGGAAAGTACAGCTGAATTCGTGAATTATCTCCTATGCCTTTGTGCTGCATCTTTATATAATGCATTATTAATAACAGTTAGATTTGTGCTAACAGTTACAATTCGCTTAGAAACTATTTTGGCGACGCGCTGTTTACGAATGAACTAAACAACAAATTTTTTATACTTACAACATACACACATTTTATATTAGTGCTGGAAAACGATCAAAAAGCTGAGCACTCTCGTTATCAATTGAAGTATTTCAGAGGAAGTCAATGTAATGGAATAACTAACGAAGAGCGCTATTATATTCCGATCATGTTTGAGATTGAGAATAAAATGCTTCCACTGATCGATTTGTTTTCTAGATCCACCAGGAAGCTAACATACATGTCATACATGACGGTCAACACACAGATTACAGATCATCGTCGCCAATGCCCTCGAACGCCTCATTGCGCACAGATGCTGCATTCTCGTCATTGCGAAAGAAAACGGCCGCAAAGGTGCGAGCCGTTGTCAGCTTGTGCTGCTGCTTGCAACGCTGAGCTAGAAACTTGACAGGCGGTGTCGTTGTCGCTGTTGCTGTTGTCGTTGAAATGCCCGAAGTGGATGTGCAGGATGAGGATGAGACTGAGCTGGGCGTCGATATGGTCGATTCCGATGCGCCTCGAGATGTGCTTGCCTCATGCTCATCATCGCTGCCACCGCTGATGCTACTGTCGATGTGCAGCAGCTCATCGACCATCGCCTGCAGCGACACAGACATGAGCATTGCCTGCTGGCTGGTGATGGTAATCCAGCGCAAAGTTTGCTTGGACATTAGATACTCAAAGGATAGCTGCAGTTGCGTCGGCTGATCCCGCGACTCGTACGTATTGTGCATGGCGCTGACCCGCCAGCAGCGCATGCGTGTGACCCTAAACTTTGTTTCGTAAATTTTTGTACCACGCGCCGTGCGCAAGCTGAGCTCCCGATTGCCTATTGTCACCAATGCTGTTGTGTCCACTTCCGGATAGTCCACTTGTGCAGCGCCGAACTGTAGACAGCCATAGGAGGGCAACTGACGCACAAGCTCCAAATATTGCAAAGGTCGTGCCTGCATTTGCCGGCTGCACAGCTGTCGTCGCATTTCGGGCGTACAAATAATCCACTCACGGGCCACATCCGCCAGAGTTTGATGGTAAAGTAAGTTGAGCGCCACGCTGTTACCCAGCAGCTTCGCATCCCAGCGTGCGTTCCAGTAGCAGGTGCGCAAAAGCAATTGACAGGGCTGCGCATGCAAGCGCGTGATAAAAGGCGACTCAAAGTCCATCAGGCGGCGCAGCAGCAGCACAGCGGGCGGATCATCTGGCGAGGAGGAGGGCCCATCGGGCGCGTCCACCTTCCGCATGAGATATAAACAAAAAAATTGCATTAGCTCAACGGGCAGCTGCAGCATGCGACACACGCATTGCAGCAGAGCGCTAGCATTCTGCTGCACATGACAATTGACCAGCAACTGTACGCCTCCATCTTCAGATCCCGCTGCGCTGCCACTATAAACCTCCACCTGTAGCTGCTGCTGCTCATCTTCTCTGCTCACCGAGCACTCGGCCAGCGCAGTTTCCAATTGGGCGCGCTGCAGAAACTGCTGCAAATAGGAAAGGCGTGCGATCCGCGCATCCTGTCCAATGATCTGCAAGTAGTGCTCAAGAGCAGCGCGTCGCGTCTCCAGCTGACTGTTGCTTAGGGGCAGCAGCCGTTTGGGTGGAAATGGCGGCAGGGCGGCGTCTGTGCAACGCCTACGCAGCTGTTCGTGTAGTGCGTGCAGCTGCTTGTAGCGCAGGCAGCAGTGATAGTTGCCATTGATATAGATGTTATACACCGTGTATGTGGGCGAGCCACCGCTTCCATCCGCATATTGTTCCTGTGTGTCTGGTATTGAAAAATGCATTTTGTTGTAGTTGTCGCTGTTGTCGTTGTTGTGGGACGCTGCTGCTGCGTTCACTATTTCATTGCGTTTCACTTGTGCGTCATTGACGTCTTTTGCCTTTTGTCGGCTGATTAGTCACTATGTTTTTATTTGTGCATGTATTAATTTATTTAATTAAAGAAATTGCGATTGTGAGTTTTTTTCACCTACACACTAGAGGTGAGAAACTCACTTTGGCACTATCGATTTCTTAATATGTATTCATCTATCGATATTTAAATCTAGCCCATAAAACGCGATTTTAGATGGATAATAATAGGGAAGGCCCTAGCTACATTAAAAAATTAAAAATTGAACACAATTTGGATACCTAATTCCTGATTCATTTTAATAATTAAGTGTCTACAAAAATTGGCTACTTATCCTACATATGTTCTATATTTAAATTGTTTGTATACATACGAATTAATACATGCCTATCGATAAATTGAGCAGTTTCTTAACTAAAACAATCGAGTGGTTCGAATTTAAACTTAGGCCTTTAATGGATTTTCGTTTTAAGCTGGCGCCATTTAAGGACGAATTGGGTTTAATTTTAGTTTAGGTTTAAAATTTTACTTAGCGCTAACTCCAGTTCCTCTTTAATTACAGTTAAGTTTACTGTTTTTCCCAGCTGAATGAGCAGCTGATCAACTAGAAACAGCTGAGTGTGATTCAATTAGGCACAACGTGGACGCCACATGAACCCCACGTACGTATGTAAATATATGAATATATACAATAATTACGAGTCCACAATATAAATTTATGAATGGAGTTGCCAAAACAAAGGCCACACCATGACATCGGAGCTCTCTTCGCAGACGCGCAGGACTTTGTACGCATCAGTGCTCCCATGGTCAGATACAGTAAGCTAGAGTTTAGAAGATTGCTTCGTCAGAATGGAGTGCAATTGGCCTTTACTCCAATGATGATTTCCGATTCGATAAATAACAGCGAAAAGGCCAGGCAAAACGAGTTTACCACTGGCCCAGATGACCAGCCGCTCATAGCACAGTTTGCCGCCAAGGATGCAATGGAATTTGTCACGTCTGCGCAGCTCGTTTACCCTTATGTGGACGGTGTAGATCTTAACTGCGGCTGCCCACAAAGTTGGGCCATTGCCAAAGGCTACGGCTGTGGTCTATTGCGCCAGCCAGAGCAAGTTCGGGATGTTGTCCAATGCTTGCGGCGAACGTTGCCAACGGATTTTAGCGTCTCGGTCAAGATGCGTTTGTTGCAAAGCAGCGACAGCCAGACATCATTGCAAAGAACGATCCAGCTGGCACAGCAACTGGAGCACTGTGGTGTCACATTCTTGACGTTGCATGGACGTACGCCGTCACAGAAGCATTCCAAAGACACGCTTAACGTAGCGGCCATGGCTGAAGTGTGCCAATCGCTGCAAATTCCGCTAATAGTCAATGGTAATGTGGAAAGCTTTCAAGATGCCTGCGAACTGCATACCAGGACACATGCGGCTGGCGTTATGGCTGCACGTGGATTACTCGCCAATCCGGCGCTCTTCAACAGCGAATATCCGCAGGCCACAACGACTCCCAAGGCCTGTGTGCAGCAGTGGCTGGACATCGCCGAGTCGGCTGGTGACCACTTGCAGTTTCAGTGCTTCCATCACCATCTAACCTTTATGTGGAGCAGCGAAATGAAACGCGCATTGCGTGTCCAGTTCAATAGTCTAAACAGCAAATCGCAAGTGCTGCAGTTTCTGGCCGAGCACTATGATCTGCGTCCAAATGCCACCAGTTCAACGCAGCCGGCTACCTACACAAATTGTACGTACACCCACTTCACACCGCCCAAGCATGCCCGGCACCTGGCTGCCGAGGCGGAGGAAATCTGTTGGAATTCAGAGAGCGATGGCAAATATTTTACAGAGTTTAAAACCCAGCAACAGTCTAGCGAAAAGTCTGAGGATCTCGACCTAGGCGGTCTGTTTGTAGACGAGGACTGATGTTTGTAAAATAAATAAGCTAGTAATAAGGTTGCTTGTGACATTGACTGCTTTCATAGCCAAAATTAGTTTAAGGCGGTCATTAAATATACATAGAAACTAAATTGAACTTTAAATATTGTTATTTTCAATTGTGTTGCAATTCGATTAGAGCGAATGTTATTCTCGCCGATTCTAACAGAGTTACTTAACAGCGCACTGTTAGAGCTTGGATGCGCACGTTGCCATACAGCGATTGTAAATTTCCATGCTCCCATTTAAGAATTGCAAGCTGCAGTTTTCTTCTGCCGTTACTCAACTCTTAAATCTGTTAAAGTCTTAAAGGTATTTAACATGTAAGTATAATTTACCGCAAAGTGGTACATAGAACGTCGCCCGTGTAGGCGAATATTGTAACTTGATTTGCTATTTATATTCTAATCGATAGTCGATAGTAAAAAGTTATTGGTACATAAAGAGTTGCCCATCACTAGATACAAAGAAAGAAACCAAAACAAAGTCTCGAAAATGCGTCGCCGGGAACTACAAACTATACAACTGAAGCTCTCCGAGCTAAAGGAGTATGAACAGGCGAAGCTGGAGCGTGCCAAGGCT